GTATTTCCTATTCGGTTTATTTCTATGGCTTCTCGAATTTTACGTTTAGCGGCAAACATACCATAATCAGAAAAACTACAAGTTTGAGACATGAACACATTATTTTGTAGCAACCCTAATCACAAGAACTAAGGGAGTGTCTGCCTCCTTCAGGAAATGTGAAAGTAATTATGGTCTTCCCATTAGGTTGGCCTCTGAATCAATATATCATTCACCTTCAAACCTAAGGAAAGTCAGGTCAACATTGCTGAACCATGAGAATCTTCGAAAACCCGTTTATTATCAAAATAATTTCGATTGCATTAGTAGAACTGTCTCACAAAGCTGATTAGTTTAAACACCCTTATGATCCTGTAGTGACACTCCTACACTTTTCTCATTCAGGTTTAGTTTTGTTACATCCCGTACGTAGCCATGGCTCAACAGCCTTGGATACAAAGATCACGTGAGTGTATAATTGATCTTCACTTTATTTCGCATCGACTAATCAAAGCTTGGTACCGCATTTCCCAATCAAAGTTGATATGGAAAATTACGCAAGGGTTTATTAAGTAGCTAAGATATGGAAAGTGCCTGGCCTTTTTTGAAATTCACATCTGCCCTCTGACCCAAAGGCACTCATGACAATTTGGCCTAGTGGTTAACGTATCGAGTTTACATGTTGTATTTTCATGGTTCAACTCCCGCTTGAGGTGTTGATAAGACCTATGCAGGGTCAAAACTGCAGTCCACCCTGAATGAGAACACCTTCTGGGAAAGCGAGGCTATGTTAAATCCAAAGGAAATATCAGCTCTATTCATATAATTGTGGGAAAAATCAACTACTACTCCTTCATCATCTTAAACGAAATAGGATGAATAAAACTAATATAGCAACCATACTGTTTAGATCGGTCACGTTTTGTTCCTTTTATTTCTCCCCTCCGCTTTAATCCGCGGAGTTTAAACTTTTGTATTTCGCGCATCCTTTCAATGATTGTTAGCGCCCCATACTATATTCAGCCGGTTCTAACTAGGACACTTAGTAATACCTTCCTTTTCCCTCTTAGTTTTAGGGCCTCCAACTTTAAAAATATACAATGCAAGCGCTTTAGATTTTAGAGACAATCCACGATCACGTGTATCAATACTCTTAACTTTATTTCGCGTCGACTAATCAAAGCTTGGTACCGCATCGCCCAATCGGAAGTTAACATGGGCTAATAAAACCGCTTTCGTAGAAAATCGTCCGTTTTTTTCAGTAGGCTGACAAAGTATACGAACTCTAGATCCCAAAAGTAGACCAAGCTCTAATGCCCAAACAATCGAATTAGGCTTCACAATGTTCTTATTAAAATTAATAGACTAAGTTTCAGAAAATTAATATATGTGCACAAGAGAACTAACCTGGTACGATTTCGCTAGTTCATCCAGTGAGATTACAGGTCGGGCCATTAGCTTTTCACGAATAAAACGGACCAAATCCTGCGAAGCAGCTGATTGATGGAGAGAGGCAGTGTCGTTCGAGAAAGCCGTTGATTTATGATCAACCCCTTTCTCAGGTGCTGATTCAGATGGCAAAAATAAGGTAGAATTTTCAGAGACCATCTCATGCGACTGCGTAGTAACGGATGCCTCATCCTTATGAACAATTCGAGATAAATTATACGATGCAAGCTGAGCGGGCTCTTGTGAAATTCGGGGAGATGCATCCTGAAGAGGTTCGGGCTTGATTGAGGATAACGGAGAATGCGGGGCTTTTAGGAGAAAGAAAGGTATAGAAAAAAGGGCGAATAGGGTATAGGCCTGATAAAAATAAAAAATTTATGCCAAGTCAAAGGGTAAAAGATTACGTATTATTGTAGATAAACACTTGGCTCTTGTCATGAGGTGTATACTTACGGAATGATGATTGTGGAGTTGCAAATGAATAAATTTTACTTGCATTGAAGCCTCCATCCTAGAGACGATAAAATGATAGCGAGGAAAGAGCAATACGAGCTTATTTGCAAACATTGTAGCAAAAAAGAATTTTTATCCTCAAACATTTAAATTTATCCGTTGAAATAGTGTTCATGAGCGATAAACAATGTTCAATAGCTCGCTAAGACAGTTAAAACCTACAATGAACTACAAACCCAATAGTCAGGATCTACACGAATTTGCTGAAGAACACGCAGAGAAATATAGTATCACAATAAAACATTACTTGCATTGAAAATTATATTGTGAATAGCAAAGTTATATAAATAAAAAGTGTGAAAGGTTAAAGGTGGAAGAAAGTTTGCGTTTCATGGTTTAATTTAGTTAAAGAGAGTTAAGATTGTAAGCTCAACCATAAATAATGAAATATTAAAAAAAATTTTGATGGAGACTAAAAATAGACGTGTTTGATCATAGACATGATCTTTGAATCAAGACTATTGTTAGCCAACTAGCTCTAGTTTCCACTGTTTCTATCCTATTTCTATGTATAATATCAAGTCTATGACTTTCTACACCCTAGTCTCTTGTGTACCAACCCACGAATGCTGTACAACAACATTTGTGGGTTGTCACACAAGAGACTAGGGCATGGCAAGTCATAGACTTGGTATTAGGGATAGAAAAAGGATAGACAACGGGGACCGGAGCTAGTTGGCTGCCGATAGGTCTGTTGTACCAAAGACGTGGTCCGTCTAGCAAAGGGGTGACCATGGCAGTAAGAGGCTTGCGCTTCGAATTAGTCACCCAGACGCAGGGGAGGGCGAATAACACCTCGAGTAAGACAGATGTGATTCGTCTAATTGCTCTTGTCTCTTTGACGAGTTGTTGTGTGGTGCTAAGAATGACAATACTCACTGACGATGCCGGCGAAACGT